AGTACTCAGGGTTTGGAAGTAAATACTTACCTGTAGTGACAGTCACACACTGTAAATTAAGAACAAATTGATTCTGATGGACAAAAAATAGACATTTTGCTGCAAGTTCTATTCCACTCTGACCTATTGGCTGGAACAGTGGTGCCAGACTCTAAAGGAAGCTTCAACTCTCTTTGTGGGAAAGTGAGGACAGCAATTCACCTTTCTACAAAAACTGACCACATGTACTGCAAATTCACAAGTATCAATGTTTTTTCATGTGACACGGATCCTTAAGAATAAAAACTGGGGCACTGGGGTTAGCATTGCTGCCTCCCAGCACCAGGGACCCAGGTTCAATTCCACCCTTGGGCGACTGTCTGTGTGGAGTTTGCACATTCTCCCCACATCTGCGTGGGTTTACTTCGGGTGCTCTGGTTTCCTCCCACGGTCCAAAGAAGTGTAGGCTAGGTGGATTGGTCATGCTAAATTGCCCATCATGTTCAGGGATGTGTAGCTTAGGTGGGTTATAAGGGGATGGGTCTGGGTGGGATGCTCCAAGGGTCAGTGTGGACTTGTTGGGCCGAAGGGCCTGCTTCCACACTGTACGGATTCTAAAAAAAATTCTTCAGAACCACACAACCCAGAAGATGGGAATGTATAGTCTTTAACCAGGGTTCTGTAGTAACAAATATAACACAGCATGGAGCTGGAGGAACGCAGCATCAGAGGAGCAGGAAAGCTGACATTTTGGGTCAGGACCTTTCTTCAGAAGCGTCCTGAAATGTCAGGTTTCCTATTCCTTTGATGCTGCCTGGCCTGCTGTGTTCCTCCAGCTCCATACTGTGTTATCTCAGACTCCAGCATCGGCAGTTTTTACCCCTTCTACAGTAACAAGCTGCTTCTTTTTGTTTATGACAATAGTGTAGACAATGACAAAAGGAAGCAATTACCCTCTCAGCCACCCAGCTTCGACCACATCTCCCTCACCTTGCACCACATCTCCCCAATCTAAAATGCAGTCCTCCTTCAAAATTTAAATATTATCAGTCAGCTCCAAGCCTCACCCAAGTGAGAACTAAAAACCTCTCCCAATCATGGCCCTTTCAGACACTCCCTCTGGAAACTTTGCTAAAGTGTACCTCAGTGTCAATAGCATCAAATAATAAGTAACAAGGATATCTTTCTGATAGCCAAGCTAGTCAACCAAAACTAAACACCAAATGTTTTTCTTTTTCAATAAACACAAACTTTACTCATCCACATAAAGCGACATACAGTGACCTCATTCGTTTTATCACACGACATCAAGTCTTTGTTTCTTCCTCAATAATTACTCAATGAAGTGATTTACAACTTAATTAGAGCGAAAGACCTTCAACTGGCTTGAATCCCAGATGATTATAACTTTAGGTAAACACAACAACAATAACTTTCATTTATATAGCATCCTTTAAATAGTAAAATGTTCCCCAACTTCACAAGAGCATAATGAAACTAGATGTGACACCAAGACAGATAGGGAGATATCAAGGCTGATGATCTAAAGGAAAGAGGGAAGTGGACAGGTTTAGTGAGGGAATTCCTGTGTTTAGAGTTTTGGCAACTGGAGGCAAGGCTACCAATGGTGGACTATTTGAAATAGAAGATGCTTTCCAGACCAGGACTGGATGAGTGTGGCTTTCTCAGAAGGTTATAGGGGCGTGAAATAGATTGCAGAGATAGGGATGGCCAAGGGATTTGCAAACAGGAATGAGAATTTCAAGATTGAGATGTTATTAACGAGAGTTCAGTGAGGATTGGAGTGATGGGTTTGATGTGAGTTTTGAATGACCACAACTTTACATGAGATGGAATGTCTGCCAGGCATGCATTGGACATCAGGTTTAGAAATAACAAAGGTGTGAAGGGCAAAAAGATTACAAAGGAGAATAGACACGTGACTAACAAGTGAATCAAAGATTATCGGGATAGGCAGGAATATGGAATTGCAGCCATTGAATAGCGGGGCAGGCTTGCGAAGCTAAATGCCCTCATTCTGTTCTTAAATTGCACATCTGTATCACACTGAGGCACCATCTAGGTATTCAAACCTATTGTTTACTCTTTCTGTGCCACCAGAGGAGGGCTGATTGCAACTTTAAAACTTGTAACAGCTGAAAGAAAAAGTAGGTCAAAGTTGTCGAAAGCATCCTGTCTGGATTCACTTCCAAAAACAGACTTTCAACCTGAGCAAAGTGTTTTTCAAGTGGTATAGCTGAAGGGCTCAATGTGTGAGGTTTTGCCCAATTGACTGTGGATTCAGGGCTGCTTCAATTACCAGGCTTATAAATAAACTTTGGACTTTCTCAAGAGCTTTCTTTAATCTGTTAAAAGTAAAACATAGCAGTGAAGTAAGTCATGAGATAATTGCGTGTGTGTGTGTGTGTGTGTGTGCGCGCGCGTGAGAGAGAGAGGGAGTGTGTGAGAGAGATAGAGAGAGACAGAGAGAAAATATCAATGTATTTTAATATTGCAGGTTTTCAGAAAATTTGGGTGCCATTTTTGATAGAAAGGTGTGTTAGGAGTCTGTAAGTAAAAAGTACAGCTTGGCAGACACAGGAGAATCATTTATCCTATTCCAAATACAGGAATTAGCCTTGCTAGTGAAAGGCACTCATGTACAGTTTGGCTTCGATAGATACTATTGCAGCAGTTATGAAACAGATTCCCACCTGATTTGCCTGCCGTTGATGTTGTCATGACATTATGATGGGTTCCAGGCTTGCTGGTAACTGGTGGAGTTGTCTTCACTGTCGCAGTACCTTGAAAAAGATGTTTAACATCTGGTTTAACAAGGCCCAGGCAACACAGACAAATTGCAGTTGAGACAGAATAAAACTAACCAGAACTAGAAGACAGAAATGCACTTGGCTCATCTGTTTTTCATTTAATGCCTTTTACACCCCACTCTATAATAAGACAGAGCTGAAGAATGTAACAATCTTCATAATATTCTGAAACATAAAGACCAACAATTGCTGCATAATCGTTTTACTGTGTGCACATGGATTCCTTTGTATCCAAAGGGGTTCAGTATTTGAGAGTAGATAATCCCTCTTGTAACTAGAACATGGGTTTTGAGGGCACGTTCAGATCTGTCTAGCTGCGGGGAGAGAATTGGTTAAAAACATACTGACCCTCTAAATGAGAAGATATAATCAGTGAGTGTGTGCGTGAGTGTGTGCGGGCTCCTTTGATTGAGGTGAAATCATTAGCAAGTGCATGCATGCTTCTAATACGGAAAACAGGTAAAACAAAAACAAAGCACTGTGGATGCTGGGAATCTGAAATAAAAACAGAAAGTGCTGAGAAAACACAGCAGGTCTGGCAGCATCTGTGGAGAGAGAAACAGAGTTAACATTTTGAGTCTGATATGACTCACTCCAAGCACTCTGAATGAACCGCGATACCGAATGCGTGCAGAAGCTTCTAAATGAGGAGACACAATTGCTGTTTACACAATTGTGTAGACAAAATTTAACATGTGCATAAATTTCCATCACAAGGAAACAAGAATAACAAGTTTGTGTTGATTGTTCCCAGTTAAAGGGACAGGATTGATAAGTATATTTCACGCTTGGATCCTAAAATAAAGAAAAACAGGTTTAACAAGTGTGGCTGTGTGGTCATGTTGCCCTGAAACCCAAGGGAACAATGTGTCAAAATATATGCAGCCTCTTCCTAACAATGAAGGCAGGATTGTTTATTGAATGTAGCCCAACTTCACTCCTGTTCCCTTCCCCTCACTGTCAAAGTAGGGCCAGTGATTTTGGGAATGCTCCAATACAAAGGTCCTAGTTGATGTCCACATATCCTCTAACGCCAAGAGAAATCTCACTGCAGACTACCTACATTGTGGACTGAGTCAGGATTTTTACCATGTGCACAATTTTCACTTACATAGTCAGCTGGAGATGGCATCAGCCCAGAGAGAATGACGATCCGAATAGTTGGTTAAAAATGGAACCAGGGAAGCATCTCACCTTTCACAGTTGATGTCTCCGTTTGAAACACTTTGGTGGGATGGGAAGTGGGCAAAGGAGCCCTCGATGTTGTCCGAGGTAGACTCAAATTGGTCGTCGTCCATTTGGTGCCAATGCCAGGTTGCTGGGTCGTAGGAATGTGTGTTTTGTTAGAAACCTTTGCTGTCAGCCTTTGAGGTAGTTCTGTAGGTTTTGTCTGCAGCATTGCCATGTAGCTGCCACTCGGGGTATACTCTGCTCTCATATTTCTGGTGGATGTATGAATAGGGTTGACCTCTACTGACAGCATGCGTCTCTGTGCAGTTAACACAAAGAAATAAGTCGAAGTGTCTGTCCTTGTTGACTCAGTTGATGTCCGTCCCTTTCTGCCACCTTTCATGGTCAGGTGCTGGAATCCTGCTGTTGGGTGAATGGTAACAGTCTCTGTGGAAAGCACATCTCTGGCTGTTGGACTCCCATCAAGATCTGTCTCTGGAATATCAAAGAACTGTGCATCTTGTAGCACCTTAACAACTGTTGTCATGTTATCTGCTGGCTGTGTGTCAATGTCATGTCCATGTCCCGAGCTAGAGTATGAGTGAGTCATTTGATGGGCAGCTGAGGATTTACTAGCGCCGTTCATTGGTGTTCTATGCCATTGTGTTGTAGTTGCACTGTCAACTGTATCAAAGGACTTTTCACTTGGATTAACTTGGTCAATTATTCGCCTCTCTATTCCAGGCTCCAGATGCTCAGTGGTAGAAGAAATGGACAAATTCAGGGCATTTTCTACAATGTTAGCAGTGTACTGATAATTGTGTTGGCTCCCGGTTTCTGATGCATCGGTCACATTCAAGAAATCTATCTGATTGCTTTGTAGAGGAACACCAACGCTGGGCTCACCAGCTCTGAGCGAGCTTCCTCCTGTCACTGGAGAATAATCTGTTCCTGATTTAATTGGAGAAACAGATTGCAATGGTCCAGGAGTCATGTAACTCTCGCCTGGCTCATTTTTAATCAAGGATTGGTTCCTTTGTGCGAGAGAAGGACCAGCAACTGATGCAGGTGAAATGTATTCAGGCTGTCCTTCAAATTGTACCACAGCCTCCTCCTTTCCCAGTACAAAGGAACTAGTAAGTAAATGTTGTTGCTCGGCCACTGAATGATGTGGAGTTGACGTCTGAGCTGTTTTGCCAATGGCGATGATGCGTCCATCTGCTGGCTGCACAAACTCAGTTTGTTCAAGAACTGTGTGGTGGGTGGTGACCTCAAAAACAGGGGAATCATTTGGAGATGCCGCTGTGGGCTTTTGGAGGAAAGAGCTGGCATCTACTGTTTTGCCACGTTGAGAATTTCTGAGGCTTTGATGTGTTTGAACTGTTTGATAATCTGGGGTACCTTCAAATTGCCTCAATAAAGAGTAGTCCGTGTTATCACTTGTACGAGCAGAAGGGACCAGTGGAGCAGATGTATTTTCTAAAATAAACTGTTCAGATTCAAAAACATCCTTTTCAGTTGTTTCAAAATTGAAATCATCCTCACTATCAACATCCTCATCATCCCCACTAAAATCAAAACCATTGTCTCTCAGGGACCTCCTCAGGTGTCGTGCGGACTTGCTCGTGTTTGGTGGCAAGAAATGTTTGGCATGAACTGAGTTCTCGTTGGACATCTCAAGCAAAGGTTGAGGGAGGCTGGAAGAGTCACTCACAGCAACTGAGTTCAAGCTCTGCTCAACTTCAGGCGAATGAATATAGGTTGGATTACTGAATAGGGAACTGTCACTGGCTGCTTCTTTAGTAGGAGGGGAAGCGGTAGCTTGAAAGATACTGGAACAGATGAGAAGAAGCCTCCAGGTCTGTATCACACCTCGGTGCTCCATCACCACATGGATCTCGCAACTCACATTGATGTCGGAAATGTCCGTGTCTTTGAAGTGAAATTCTCTAATCCCTGAAATAAAAAGATCAACATTTAAAATTTTGAACTACTTAGCATTATAACTTTAATTAATGATTACATACTAATTAAACATCAGGACAGAAATTAGTGTATAGGGAATGGAGTTTCAGAGGTCACAATTTTTGAGAGATCTAATAGTTCATGAAACATCTCCATTTTCAGGAATGTTCGCATGGGGACATTGTGCTTACTATAGAGCATACTGTGGCTGTGTAGTTGCCTTATCTTTAAATGAACTTCACTAATTTCCTTGCATTGTCCAAGATGGGAAGGCTACATTCCATTTTGCATAAACAAAAGTGGCCAGGGTAGTCCAATTCACCATTTCTGCCCAGTTTTCCTTCATCATCTTATTACTATGGCACAATTGAGATTAATGTAAAAGTTAGTAGCACAAAACTACAACACACCACCCCATCCACATTGTATCCATTTCCATATCTCATAAAACAATAAGAAGAAAAAAAAACACATGACAAGATCAAGATGGATAGACAGAGCTACAATTTTCACTTAAGCGTTATTGCTTCTAAGAAACTATTTACACATTCAGCTCCACAGTTGCTTTACCTTCCAAAGCTGCTTCCCTTGGGTGTGTTCTACAAAGCAATACAATGAAAGCATGAGGCAATAACCACTGAATGAGGCACACCCAAAGGCTGATGACAGAAGAACTGACCTTTGAGTCTCCATTCAGATAGAATGAAAAATATCTGTAGTTGGGAAACACACTTGTTGACCTCCGCTTTTTATTCATTGCCGTTTCAAACCTGTTGAGTAAATAACATTTCACAAGTGTTTCAGTTCCTGTTGTAAGTTCATGTCCACCATTCTTTGACCATGAAGGTGGCTCTCTCTAACGACTGTTGTCCTTTGTTCATTCACTCAAAGGCCTGGATCTGAGTGTGTAACAACATGAACTGTTCTCTGTCTATTTTGTTGGTGTTTCCTCTCCCACCGTACTATTATACATTCATCTGTTAAAGTGTTCCTCAAATTTGACATCCATTCAGTAGAACTACCTACACTGCCATTAATGACGTATGTTCAGTGCAGCACTGTTATAATCAGTGAAATGTTCCATAGTTCAGAGGTTCTGAAGCGAGACATCCACAAGAGAATTCTAAGGGAAAAGTGCTCCTTTTGTTTGACTCTGATGAAATATGGTGGCATTCATTCCTGAACTGGCATGTGCAGGCCTACAGTGCGTACCGGGTTGGAGCAAATTACTGCAAATGCTGGAATCTGTACTGAAAACAAAAAATGCTGGAGATCACAGTGGGTCCAGCAGCATCCATGGAGAGACCGCAAGCTAACATTTTGAGTTTAGATGACTCTGATTAAGATGGCTCTGATGAAGAGTCATCTAGACTCAAAACATTGGCTTGCTCTCTCTCCATGGATGCTGCCTGACCCATTATAAATTCCATCATATTTTGTTTGCAATGCGTATAAGGTCAATGGATCAAAGTCAACAGCAATTGGAAGCTACCAGAAACTCTGTCTGCTAAAGATGTGTCGTTGAAAAGAGTCAAGCAGAAGTGAAGATGTACCACGAGTAAGACAGCAGTATTTGGAGATATTCCCATCAAATTCAGCCAGAAAGACTGTTTGCAAAGTCCTTATTCTCGAGGAGATAATGTTGGAAGTTACTTGACAGCCTGGTTCTCCTTCCCACACGTGCCCTCATCTTTCTAAACCTGATGGGTCTGCCTCTGCTAAAGGCTCTGACTAGATTCCAGATCTGCTGGGATCACTATTCAATGCACATTCCGGGAGGAGGTGGTCGTGGTTATGTAGTGGCAGTCTCACTGGGCTGGTAAGCAAGAACCCCAGAACAAGGCTATGGGAATATGGGTTCAAACTCCACCATGGCAGGTGGTGAGCTTTGAATTCAATAAAAGTCCGGAATTAAAAGCATTGTACTCGCTATTGATTGTTATAAGAGTCCCAATTGGTTCACTAATATTCTACGGAAGGAAATCTTTCCTGTTCTGATCTACACGTGACCCCAGACCCAAAGCAACGTGGTTCATTTGTAACTGCCCCCTGGGCAACTAGGGATGGGCAATAAATATTTGCCTAGCCAGAGACGCCCTCATCCTGTGAATGAATGAGCAAAAAAAAAACCACCCACAGCCAGCAGCCTCAATAGCCTGTGAAGAGGAGGTCAGATCCGGCAACATATTGGGCAGCATCTCTCCAGAGCTAGGGATTAATGTGGTGCACATTCCCAATCCCAATTAACAAAGCGTCCATTTTCTGGAGAGATAGAAAGCAAATTATTTCAACAATACACAGGCTGGAAAACAGTAGGTCAACATCTACAGAAAGAATGGTAACAGCGCCAGGGACCTGGGTTCGATTCCACCCTCCAGTGACTGTCTGTGTTAAGTTTCCACGTCCTCCCCATGTCTGCGTGGGTTTCCTTCAGGTACTTTGGTTTCTTCCCACAGTCCAAAGATTTGCAGGTTAGGTGGATTGGCCATGGGAAATGCATGGCTACAGGGATGAGGTAGGTCTAGGTGGGATGTTCTCCAAAGGGTTAATGTGGACTCAATGGGCTGAATGGCCTGCTTCTAGACTGTAGGGATTCTATAATTCTATTCTCCAGGAGGTTTTGGGTTATGTGATCCTTAATTCACTCACTTGGGGCATTTGATGTTTTGTTCATCGATGTGGGGTATCTGATGACATTTCCATCCATATAAGGTTCAGATCTTGTACCTTACTCACATTTTGGTGAAAGACATTTGAAACATTGATGCTTTGGATGTTTTCAAGGTTGGAATTTACATTCAAACCTGATTGAAGTGTATTTATTACAAGCTGCAAAGTACAGAAATGAATGTCGTGTCAGGTTACTTAATATGCTCTCATTTTACGTAAGGCGTAATTGAACTATTTTAGTAGGAACATAATAAATTACAAAACCCATGAAAAGTCTTTGTAAGCAAAGACAATAAATACCAGATGGAGATGCATTTTTAATATGGTCATCAGCTTCAAAACAACAGAACTCACAGAGTGATATTACAGATCCTTCGTCAACAATTAGGGCTGAGAAACACTAAGGAGGAAGAGGAGGCATAGCTAACAAAATACAAAGCTACTGTTAACACTGCAAAATTAAGGAAATGTGAAAGTGGCTATTTAAATCTTTGTTTGGTTCTTACTGTAAGTGAAGGTGTGCCCTAATAGAAGTGTGTCACTTTTACATTGGTACAGCTTGATTCTTTGTAAGCATCTAAATTGGCTTCATTAATGTGTCAAACATAAAATACAACAGGACAAGAATCATTTGTTTTGGCAGAACTGATTGAATAAAGGAAAAATTGCTTGTTACAGGGGGTTTATGGATTTTTTTTAACACAGGAGTAGGGAGGAGCTTCTGAAGAATAAAGTTTGAGAACTCCTGCCCAGTCTGTCCTTTATATCTATCTTTGCTGAGTGTGCACCTTTGTTCAATCAGGTAGGTCAGCTCTGAGAGAGCACTCTCACCTCACCTCACTTCAGAATGTTGTGAGTTGAAGTTCCACTCCAGAGATTTGAACACACCATCTCGACTGACACTCCCCAACAGGGAGGGGTGCTGCTCTGTCAGCAGGTGAGCCATTAAACTGCAGTGCTTTCTCAAATGGACATAAAAGATCTCACAGCACTATTTGAAAAAGGACATGTGACAATTGGGTTAAATTAATATTTACATGTGCCTCTGAGATATGCTGTGATGCCACTGTGACCTCAGTAATCATATATAAGTATTCTGCTGTGAGATTGAACATGCTTAGAACATGCTGCATTCTAGCCTTACCACCGGGAGCCACAGGTATTGGCCATATCATACTGAGATGAGGAGGAATTTCTTCACCCAGAGAATGCTGAGCCTGTGGAATTCACTAATACAGAAAGCAGTTGAAAATACTGTATGATGAGGTTGTTGACTTGCTCGCCGAGCTGGCTTGTTTTCATTCAAACGTTTCGTCACCATGCTAGGTGACATCATCAGAGGAGCCTCCGATGAAGTGATGTTATTCTACTCTGCTTGGAATTTATACTGTCCGGTCCGTTATGGTGAGTAGTGAGACTTCCGGTTTTGATCTGTATGGGTTTATATACGGGGTCCAATTCTATATGTTTTTTGATTGAAGGATGGGTGGAGAACCATGCCTCTAGGAATTCTCTCCTTAATATCTGTACATTCAGTAAATGAAGGCCATCAGTTTAACTGGTATGAAGTAACCATAGTAGCCCAAGCCAAACATAGACATGCATGGGAATTCCTAGAGGCATGGTTCTCCACCCATACTCCAATCAACAAACATATAGAATAGGACCCCATATACAAACCCATACAGATCAAAACCGGAAATGAAAGTACTCACCATAACGGACCAGACAGAATAAATTCCAAGCAGAGTAGAATAACATCACTTCATCGGAGGCTCCACTGATGATGTCACATAGCATGGTGACAAAACGTTTGAACACAAACAAGCCAGCTCAGCGAGCAAGTCAACAACCTCATCCGCAACCCGAGCTACAGGTCTTTGCCAAGACTTTAAATACTGTATGATTTCAAGAAGGAGTTGGATATAGCACTTGGGGCTGAAGGGATCAAAGGAAAAGTGGGAACAGGCTATTGAATTGATGGTCAATCATGATCATAATGAAGGGCAGAGCAGCTTGAAGGGCTCAATGGCCTATTCCTGCTTCTATTTTCTATGTTTTGATATCTTAGTCAATGTTGGTTAACAGTGACCTAGAAGTCTGGCCTGAGCTTGCATGACGCAAAGAACCCACATTGGAACATGTTGCAACTGGCAATGAAGATACCACCAGCATCCTGGCCAACCATCAAAATTACTGAACAGGAACAAAAACAGAAAGTTCTGGAGAAGCTCAGCAGGTCTGGCAGCATCTGTGGATAGAGAAACAGAGTTAATGTTTTGGGACCGAAGACCCTTCTTCAGATCAGAAAGGTCACTGGTCTCAAAATTATCTGGTCATTATCATACTGTGATTTGAGAGCGCTGCCTTCACACAAATTGGTTACCTATTTTCTAAATTACAATACTGGCTGCACTTTAACAGTACTTCATAGACTGCTTATTTAGCTTTTGGAAGGTCCAAGGTGATGAACGGTGTAAAATAAATTCAAGTCTTTCTTCTGTTCTTTCTGACATTTGGACTTCTTGTCTTTCTTTAATTCAGGTTTAAAAACTTGATGAAATCGATGAAATTGGCTGTGAGGTAATGTACCCATTTGTGGGTTAAAAATAAAACAATTATAGCTTTAGGTAAATTTTGAACAGTGCAAGTTATTTTAATGGAAGAAACAGCAGGAAATATACCAAAACAAGGTCATGAACCTGAAACGTCAACTCTGTTACTCTCTCCACAGGTCTGCTGCCTGATCTGCTGAGTTCTTACAGCACTTTCTGTTTTTATTTCAGATTTCCAGCACCTGCAGCATTTTTGGTTTCGTACCAAGTGATCTTTCCTTGTGTCTTTTTTAAAGATTGCTCAGTTGTGCTTGTTGGTGTTTTACACAAAGTGAGACATTTTAAGTGTGCTGAAAGTAAACATTATTAATCAGGGCAAATCTGACTTTGGTCTTCTGTACTTCCTGGTCTCTTTGAGAAAGTCTGCAATTGTTTTTATATTTAGCAAATGGAGGAAAATGCACACTGAGTTTTAACAGTGTTTCTTGCGACTGTGGGCAATGA